AGGGATTCAGAGGGAGCGTTTGGGAGGGAAAGTGCGACCAGAGGAGGCTCGGCTGCGTGCTGATGTTGTCTCACCACGGCTGTAGTGAAGGATGGGAGAATGGGTGTTCACTGGCCAAGCTCAATGAGGAGCGAAGGCAGGCTGCTTTCAACCTGGCTTTTCCATTAGTGTCCCGGATCAGCAACCCTTAGAAGCCAGAATCGGGGCCCCATCCGCGGGAGCTGGAGTTAAAAGAGCTTGTGTTTGAGAGTCGCATGAACAGCCATTTGCACAAACCCATACCTTCGTATTCTCTTGACTAGAGAGTCTTGAGACGGCTTCTACTTCGTATATGCTGATAACAGGCAAATTTGGACAGAATCTTACCACATCAGCACACCTCTTCACTACAGCCTACAGCTCAATGTTCCTCATCTGGAGTTGGGATCCACGAACGTTTTCCTAGCCAACCTGCAAGAGCAGTAAGGCCAGGAGCCCCTAGCAGGGGTCGGCGGCAGGGGCGGCAGCCCTTAAATGAAGGGCTGGCAGAGGGAGACAAGACCAATGATGATAACGTGCCCTGGAAATGACAGGTACAATGGTACAAAAATTCAATAACATTGCGAGGGAATCTCACACAGTTCAGAAGATCTTGAAGGACATGTGTATATATATATATATAGTTGTATAACAATACATTATTTGATACGTGTAATCTATATATAATGTATATTCTAACTTCTAACGGTATCCTTAATTTCAACCTTCTGAACATCGTGCTTGTTGTTGTGAAAGCTGTGAAAAATGAAATGCTTGAGCAAGTGAAGGGTGCACACTTGACCTTCAGTGCTGTCATCTGCTTGGACCAAGTCCTGTGCCAACTGACAACTTCTGTCGTGTCGACAGGCGTGGTCATCGTTGTGCTATTTTTTAAAGACCTGCTACAGCTACAGCCGCTACAGTTGAAGATAGCAGATGATATCTGATGGCAGCATGATTTCGAGTTCTGGCATTGTGGCTTTGTGCTGGACTATATAGTTCCATCTATTTTCTTTGAGTTCATTTTGCTGCACTGTATTGCTGTGATCCCTTTTGCACCCAAGCATTCGATCTGTGGGAACGTGTTCGGTGAATCTACTAAATGATTTTGGCATGGTTTCTGCCTTGAAGGAGCTCTGCGAGAGAGCCGAGCTCATGACAGGTGAAACCCTCATAGCACACATGGACATCATCTTGAAGGTGGTAATCATTCCCAAGCCTTGCTCTCAATTGGGGAAAACTGCCTTGAGAATGATTGGCAAAAAATGACTGGCTCAACAGACGCTCCAATCCTCTGAAGAATCCCAACAGCTACAAACCCTTCTTCAAAACCAGCAGACTACCTAGCTGGTGGGACATCCGTGCTCACTTGAATGCTGAGTGGCTTTGCAAGCCGCGACAAAGCAAACATGCGCAAAGGAAAAGCAAGCACACCAATGGGCAGGCGACATGCGTCATGAACGGTGGGATGGTCTCTGGAATCAGCCTGGAGGACTGAGCTGTGCGACTGCGCACAGGCGCAGCTTAAGGAGATATGGTTTGGAAGCGCGTGCTCAACTTCCACGGCATGTGCTTTTCGAACTCAACTTCCACGCTTGGCTGAGCTGGTTTTGTAGATGAAAACTGATGAAAAAGGCAAAACTCTAGAAACCAATTGTGAAATAAGTGCCAAAGAAACACCGAAAAACAAACAAACAACTCGGCACTCGGCACTCGAAAACTGACTGACGATCCGAGGCAGTGGGCACCTGCTCCTTGGGCACCAAATAGATCCATTCCTGGATGAGAGAGTCAACATGAAACAGGTGTTGTTTAAGATCTCAGTGGAACCATATCCAAAAACGTCACCAAAAGCAACTGAATAACAGTGAAGACCATCTTTGCAATATCATTGCAAAAACTATGATATTATATTATTCATATTGTAACAGCATCTATATCCGTATGACTTAGATTATTCTATCCGGGGAATACGATCAAATCATTCCACCCTTGACGTTGTTGTCATCCCATGGCCCGAAAAGCACCAATTGCGCCCCAGGCTCATTGCGATCCGCTTTGGCCGCACGCTCACAGGACTCGGCTGCCTAGCTGGCAGCTAAGGTCATGTCCATCTTCTGGTGCCAGAAACACAGCACAAAAAGACGGTACACTCAAGAAAATTATCATGGCTCATTCCAGGGCGCAAAGCTCTGGGGGCCATGAATCTATTGACCTACTGGTTGGCACCCTAAAGACTCTAAGGATTAGCTGAAGAAAAAAGGTGTGCTGCGTGCATATGGGCACCCCCAAGCAGCAGACCACATCTGTGACTGTAGCACCTGCAGCCCACATCTCCTGAACGATGACCACTTTTGAAACAACTTCAAAGCTTGAAGCGTGTGCTGTCAGCACTTGCTCCAAACTTCAACATCAGATCTTCCCTAATTAATGACTGTGTCAACACACCATCTTCCATCTCACACCAAGGAACTTCTCCTGCAAGGTTTTTGCAGCAGTGGAGAAGCAGGCAGCACCGGCACGGCCCTGTCTGCGGGTCGTCTGCGGGTCGCCGCCGCCGCGCCACGTGCCACGTGCCACGTCCCCCCGGGGGTAGCTCCTGCCTGCGTTCGTCGTAAGGCCCGCATGGGAGCGGAGGGCCTGAGGTACGTAGATGTTTTTCCGTTTTAGATGAGGTCTTCTCAGTTGCGAAACCATCAATTCATTCCCATCTTTTCCACCAACATGGCTACAAACAAAGGAAGCATTGGTCGCAGCAAAAGAAAGAATCCTTCCACTTGAAATATTGAACCATCGCAGGATGCATTTGGTTGATGTGGAAGCTCATGGGAGTCATGTCTTGACACTTTGACAAAGTAGGTCTAAGAAGCCAACGAAGCAACAGCAGCACAGCTGAGTGTTTCGGGGCTCCAATGTCCCAAAGGGTCTGTTGTGTTTGTTTGTTGGCTAAGGAGTGTCTGGTTTGGTGCTTCCATTCGCTGATTCTCCATGCTTCTGCTGCTGTCATGGGCTGAGTTACAGCGTGATCACTGGCAGTGTCCATGAGCTTGTCTAGCTGCAAAGCCAAAGCTCAAGTTCTTTTCTTGTACAAGCCTGACTTCGATGCCAGCCCAACTGCTTCAACGATCTTCAACGTGGGCGCAAAAATAAGACTCAACTCCCCATGCTCCTTATGTTCCCTGTTTGGGTCTGGAAGCTCCGCTCCATGCCACCTTTTGACCAACTCCTAGCTGTCGCTAGCTGCTCAGCGAGTGGAAGGATACCTGCAGCGGAAGCGGCACTTCTTGAGCGATTGCTATCTATAACTGTTTTGGGCTGTTACTTTGTCAAGAACAACAGCCATTACTGCGGGTCAAACACTTCTCTGAGATTCGATTGTTTAATAAGTTCGATTGGCGAGTAAAGCGAGTCACAAAATTCAAGCACTGAAAAAAGAGAAAATCTACGCCTGCTCCTGACTGCCTTTTCCTGCCCAGCCTGGGCCAAGGCATTCAAGCGCAGAGCGTGTGACCATTGGGGAATGAATTTCAAGCTTCTACTTCTCCATATTACGTGCTTGACACAAGAAATGCCAAAAGAGCTGCTGTGCCACATCGCTGTATGTGTTCATCCACTTAGCCTTTTATCCTTTATGTCAATACCCACTCTTTGGTGAGTCATGTGGCTGCTTCTCAGACGGATCTGTTGCCCAATCAGGCGGCCATAGAACATAGCAGGAAAACACAAGTCCAGAGGCCATGCAGGCAGCGGCTTGAAACTGGATTAGTCCCTTGGCCTGAAACTGGATTAGCGCCTGCGTAGACATCACTGAAAAGAAACATGGAATGACGCTCTTCGCGCAAATTTCAAAGGAGGCTGCGATGCCAGCACAATCTCTGAGTGGCTCAAAAAAGAGTACGTTTACAGAAACCAGTGCCATAGTGATGGTGCTCGCTTGAAGAAAGGATCCCACCAAATATGCCCAAATGAAATCAGAAAAGAAACTTCCAAGCGCAAAAGAAATGATGCCAGTAAACGCATAAAGCGACACTGCTATCTTGGCGACACGAAGAATGCTACCCAGCTCTAGGGCCTTTGAAATGATCAAACCAAGACCATTCAATGCTCCAAATGTTAACATAATCACAGAAGTTGTCATTGTAGATTGGTGGAACATAACCTGGGCAAAGTAGCTGACATTGGCATTGAAGGTCAAGTATGCTCCCATCATACAGCTTTCGGTCAACAGCAAGCAAAGAAGATGTGGATCAAGAATCCGCAGTACATCTTTCAGGTAATCATCATGCTCCTGATCAGGACAGCTTTCAACCATGGCAATGTATGAATAGATTGCCAGTATGCCCCAAATTAAGGCCAAAACAAAAAA